TATGGCAAGTGAATTGGAGAAATCTTTTCCTTAGGCCCATACAACCGCCAACGGACGAGGAGGGGCTATGGTTTCTGAATCCACCAGTCAAGCGCGAGTAACACCGGACTTGACATAAGCAGCCAAACAGCAGGAGCAACCGTCAACAGCCGCTTCCCCAGACTCCTCACCACCTCAACGAAACGATTGCCAGCGCGAAGACAGCCCAAGGGCCAAACAATCCCCTCCTCCTTCCCCTTTCCTCACCCCATCCGTCCCTTAATACACCACCTCCTCAACATCTTTCCGAGCCAACCCAAGCCCTACGAGTAAATACCGACAAACCCACCCAATCACTACCACTCCCATCCAATATCCAAACAAAAACCCCACAACCCCACAATAATTCCGAACGCACTGTGACGCAGAAAAAAAATTCTTTTCGGCAAGGCGAAAGGACATGTCATAATAAAGAAGAAAAGAAAAGAGGAGAGAACACCTAACTCGCGTTACCCCGGATTCCTGTGTTCCCGAAGACTGCACAAACAATAAAGGTAAAGAAACCAATGGCGTGGTAATGGCCTTGGTGGCTTGTCGGAATCGATTCCCTTTGGCCGGCGGCCGGGTTCGTACGCCGGTTCGCCAATGTATAAATGGGTGTGGGGGGAAATGCGCCGGCCGGTCGGGAACGGAATGAAATTTTAAACGGGGTTTGGGGGGAGTTGTTGTGCGCAGGTTTTGGCTGTTTGGGTGGGGGGGGGGGGAGTGGTTTACGGTGATCATGCAGTATCACTCGGATTTTCGGATTGGAGCTGAGGGGGCGGGGGGAGGATGGGAGAGGATCATTAGCACTTTTGAAAGGGGGCTGTACGGTCCGGCAGTATAGTAGAGTCCGCATAGCGAAATGGCACTCTTAGTAATTACCACCGCGGAAATACCAGAGTAGACGCTCCAATCCACCCCACAACTATCACACAAACAGCTCTCACCAACCACTTCCCCCCCCCTCCCGCAGACAGGCGGGCAAGCAGGATCAAAGTCAGCCTTAAACTTCAAATACCGGTAGGTAGGTAAAAAAAAAAAAAAAAAGATCACAAGGCACAATTCACCATCCATAAACCCCCGAAAGAAAGAAAGAAAGAGGGCAAGGGAGAAGAGGGGGAGGGGAGGAGGACAGCCCGAAAAGGCCCACCACAGCAACAAATCTCGTCATTCACCGTTTTCAACTCTCGCGTTCCTGTTTTCCCTCCCCTCCCCCCGATTCATTGTTTCGTCCCGATGTTGCGGGGGTTCCTTAAGCGATGCGCAATTGACCAGCATTCTGTGCGACGTTGGTACGAGTACGTATACGAGTACAAGTATAATAGCTGATGGATAAATGAATTGTAGATACAGTAGATAAATTGACGGATTCCTATTTTGGGATTGGTCGGACCGGTTCGTTATCTTTTTTTTTCTTTTTCTTTCGTTTTTTTTGCTTTCTATCTTTTGTTTTGTTTGGGCTGGTAGGTTTCTTGGCGGTTGGGTTAGGGTTTTTAGTTATTTGGTGATCTGTTCTCTCATTCATTCATGGGAGAGTTTGCGCTGCTGGACACTACGGTAGGTAGGTGGGGAGTTTATCAAGAGGCCATATCATACAGTATGCTAGCAAATTCTTAGCTTTTTTTTTTTCTTCTTGAAACCGCTCTTCCTATTGGAAATGTTGTAAAGAGCCAGGTGGCCAAGCCTGTCGTTAGCTTTATATTAACACCGCCCAGGTCTCGCTTGCGCAAACTCCCCTAATATGCGCAAGTGTGATGCTGTACAGTACCGTACCGTGTGTCTGGATTGGGCGGTTGATATCGTAAGTTACCTCTCGAGCTCTAGTTTTGGAGAACTTTGGGGCAAGTACGGTACTAACTTGTAGACTTTGAGGAGGAGGGGGAGGTATTGTAGGCAATTATGTACTCGAGTATGATATGTGTCTTTAAGTGCCCGCCGGATATCGTGGCATCCTTCGAGCTCTATAGGCAGAAGTTGCTTTATCATACGTTCTAGCATAGTCTAGTCCAGTCCAGTCTATAGCCTGCTTCCTACGAGTACTCGAGTACAGCGCTCGAGTTACGGCTACCGGTTATCACCATTACCACGCTCTTTTTCATTCCATGGCTTTCGTAAGCTACAGTCTACAAGACCACAAAATCACATTAAATAAATAAATAAATAAGCGGGCTATGAAATACTGAGCGCTCTATGTTTTAGCGAGAGCTTGCTGCCAGCGCTGCGGATATTTACTACTGTTAGCAGCTGGTATGATAGTGTGCCAATACTGTGGAGGAACTCTTTTATGATTACTAGAACAATTTGCACTCATCAAGGTCTAGACTTCAAACTGCTGAAAACTCTGCTGTTATCCCCCCCCAACCCCCATATCCCGGTTTTCTCCCCCCACCCTTCTTCATTCTAGGGATCCGGGGAGCAGTACCTTTTGGCCAAGCCAGGATTCCAAAAATTGGGCGGAAGTATCGTAACCTGCTCAAGGGAGGCTTTTCTTCTTGATCCGATCAAGCAGATGGATTTTTCGTGCAAGGAGGTTGACGGATTCCATGTACAGTACTGTAACCTTATGATTTCAAATAATTGAACCGCGCTCTACCCGTACAGTACAAGCAAGCAAGCACAAGTATGCACGGGATCTTTTCTTTTCTTTTCTTTTCTTTTCTTCCGGGGGTGGGGGGGGAGGGCGGCGGGTTATTTACTATTGGTCTAGACTCCTCCCAAAGAACGTACCCGAGTACTTGTATTCTCATCGTGTATTCGGAATGTGGTTACTATAAAAGTGCCGGCAAGTATGTCAGAATTATGAAGACATGATGGGTGACATAGAAAGAGGAGAATGTAGCCGACAATAACAATAATAATCTGATAAGAGTGGTAGCATTGGTGACGATAATCTGAGCAAAGTTATTTCACTGCCTTCAATATAATATAAAACCAACTTTCTTATTTTCTTATTTTCTTATTTCCTTTGCTCATTCCTTTATTCCTTTATTTATTTATTTGTTTATTTGTTTATTCATTTATTTGTTTATTCATTTATTTTTTTATTCATTTATTTGTTTATTTATTCAGTTATTCAGTCCGTGATGAATTAGAAGCTGTATTACAAAGTGGTAATTATGGATACCTAACTGAAAGGTAGGAGGAGACAATAATGGAGTACTAGCTAATAGTGGAAATCCTATAAAAGCCAAGGCTGCGGGTACAAGTATATTGGTAGTATTATTATGTTTTATCTCTTAATCTATGAGAGACTAAATTAAAATGTACTGCAGGAGCAGAAGCTTGACCTAAATGCGAATAAATTATATAATTAAGAGTGGATCCTTCTACCCATACTTGGTTGTAGCACTAAGCTATAAATTCTTAATAATACCTGATTCCGAATACGCGATGAAATTACAAGTATGATAAAAGAAAAGAAAAAAAAAACACACCAAGACCTCAAGTTCACCACACACCAGAAGAGGCAACTCTAACCACATGACACTAGTCGACCAAGTCCATTGTGAGATTCTGCTACGGTAGTCTATTCTCGAGTGTAGGTATTAACACTCTGCGGATTGGCGTAACGGTATCACACAGGGAAATGGAAGGATGGCGGACTTTTGAAGGATTCCCGACAGTACAAGTATATTCATCCCCAACTAGACTTAATAGTCCATAACAGGTAGGGCAAGGGAGGAAAAATAAATATATATATATAAAAAAAGCCCAAATTCAGGTCCGTTAAATACCATGTTCTCTCTCCGAAAGTTCTTGCTGGTAATTATATCTACAAATGCTTATCACTATAACGGCATATTCGTAAATTGGACTCCAGCTTCGGGTGCGATGATCCGTCACTCACGGTTCATTCATTCATTCATACATGTGTACGTGTGTATGTGTGTATGTGTGTACTCGAGTATGTAGTGAAATATGGTACTGTACACCCCCCCCCCGGGTTCCCACTTTCAATTGGCCAGTGATTGGCACTTGTGGTTTGAACGGTATATATATACTCTGGAAACAATCGTCCCATCAGTCCGACAAATTCCACATGTGATAGATATATAATAGGTAGACACCCCACCCCAACCGCGATATACGGTATCATACCAATCCCACTCCAGCACAATAAATGGTAGCCAACAGCCATCACTACCGTTACTATCGCACTCCACTCCACTCCACTCCACCAATCTCGCGATAAAAACGAATACCTCATTCATCCCCCGTCACTCACACTTGATCATTCGTGAGCGTCTTCACTTCTCCCCCCCCCGAAAGGCCTCGGCCGCACCGGCAAGTTAGTAACGAACTCATCATGCCCTAACACTAAGTATCCTAAACTCGCCAATCCAAAACCCCTATCGGGACGAGCTTCTTCTTCTTCTCCCCCTTCCCTTCCCTCTGATCGTGCTTTAGATATTACACCGACTCGCGCTGTGATAAAGGTGGAGAAGCAGGACAGAGGGAATATCCTGTGAGTTCGTAGCGTAGCCGCACAACGCCCTTACGGTGAGAGGGGGACTCCCGGGTAAGAGTGATAATCCATGACTAGGGTGGGAGGATACTCTTGCACTGATCAAGCCAATCGCGCACCTCTAGCTATAAGAAGGGGAGAAGTGTCTCGGGTTATATCAGTCGGGTAATTGACCTTTCATGCGTGTTTGCCGAGGGTAGGAGTAGGACTCTTGGGGGGATGGGCGGGCGCACTATGACCACGCTGCCCGGTTGGGATTTGGGGCGGGGTGTGCTGCGGGGACTACGGCACTGATGGAGGGGGCCCTAGATGGGGTTTTTGAAGGCCGGTATGTAGATTGGGTTGTCGGTTGGATAGTGGGTGCATGGAGACCTTGTGTATCTGGTGTTTTTCTTCGGGTGGATGTTTGCTAGGATTGGTAGAGGGCTGCTTTTGTGATGAACTAGCGTCATGTTACTGATATTTGGATAAATTTAGTTTCTCGATGCCTCTACCAAGACTGGGTAGCATGAATAATAATAATTATAGTATGTGCAATTAATTTTTATACACCACACACTTCCCAATCTATCCAGACTTCCGAACCCTTACTTAAAGTCCTTATAACTCCACTTCTCAGTAGCCTTCTTGGCATACCTCCTCCCCTCCACCGCCCTAACTCTACTCTCCACGACCCCTCTCTCCCTCAGACTGCGAAACCTGTCCCTGAGCAAACTCCCTTCAGGCTTCAACGTCCTTAGCGAGTCCGCCAGCTCCTCGGGCAGCTGAAGTTCCAACGGCACCTTCCCCATCCCGACCTTCCCGAACCTGCGCTTGCGCATGAGTTTTGGATTCTTCTCGTCGTCCTCCACATGTTTACCCTTAGCGAGCGTGAGAGCGCGAGTCCGAAGTTCAGCATCCTTAGCGTACTTCCGTACGAGCGACAACTCCGCCGCCTGTTTTTTTGCCAGTTTTGCCCGGAGCATGGATAACTCCTGGGACTTTCGGCGGAGTTGCTTATTGCGTTGAGCTTGGGTTTTGCGTTTTGGTTGTTTCCTCTTGATGACTGGAGTTTCTCCATCGCTGCTGCCGTCACTCTCGCTTCCGCTGGCAGGCTCGGGTTCTGGTATTAGTGCCAGGGCTTTTATCCGCTCGCACTCCTTGACCTCCTCCAAGCGCTTCCTCTCCTCATCAACCGCCTTCTCCCCCTCCGTGCGGAGAAGCATGTCCCATTTCTCGAATTCCGGATTGTAACTTATTCCCGCCTCCGGGAGGCGCACAGCTGGAACCGGTTTTCCAGTCTGGGTGAGGGATATGGGTGGTTGCTTCAGCGTTTTCGGTTCTTTAATCGCCGCTGGCGCTTCTAGGAAGGTTAGCCCCTTGGATTTATACTGCTCCGCTAGCTTCTCCTCTGGCCTCGCTATGGGCGTCCCCCAAGGGTCGTAATCTATCTTCAGCTCTGGGGCATCTTTGTCAAAGGGGTTGTGGTGGGATGAGGGGTTTGCGGCGATGGAGCGGAGGCGTTCGAGGTCACTATGGGAAACGCCATTGCTGCGGCGCTTTTTAACAGGGAGGATGCCAGTGCCATGGGTTGTAGATGCGGTCGTGGAGTGGACCCGCTTTCTCCCCTCGATCGCTGACAGAGCACTGCGGGATGACAGAATCTCGTCGGATTTGAGCTTTCTCGTGAATGACTTTGCGATAGCGGCATCGCCCGTGGTGTCTATGGTGAAGAGCTGGTTATCGGCCTTTTCCTTGACAACTCCACTATACAATTCGCTCAGCCGCTGTAGAAAAAACTAACTAGATGGACTGACATAGAGTGGGAGGTGAGTTACCCTTGAATTATCTCTTCGCGGAGACTCTCGAGGCCGGCACTGACATCGGTGACGTCGACGTTCTTGCGCCAGGCCTTTTTACCTTTTCGGGAGGGTTGTCTGCTAGCCATTGTAGGTTGTGGAGAGTTGGATAGGAGTGTGCTAAGTTTGCAGGACTCTGCTTGCAGAAAGAAAAAAGCGCGGGACGAGATTTCAGCATGGTGGGGTTACCCTGCTAGCTGATCACATGATCCGCAAAATTGTTTCTCGGGAGGTGTAGTGTAACAATACCATAATACCGGTATATTGCCGGCATGATACCCCAATCAATAAGGCAATAGACTATCTCTCTACCGGAATTCTGGCGCCTGAAATGCCTGAAATTCAAGTCCGCTGCTCACACCAACATCCCCCACAGCCATAATAAATAGCCGAGTGATGCCACATGATCATATCATTAGTTAGCTACGTGAATCTCTAGGGTACAACCCGCCAACAAACTCCCGTTACCCTCTGACCACCCCGAACATTGAAAGTCTAGCAAAACGTAAACCCGGAAATGTGCAAAAATCATTCCAAATGCAGCAACAGGGGGCGAGCTTCCCATTTCACCGAGTTCCAGCCAGCAGTTCCTCAGAATATAGGTCGGCGACAGCGGGTATAATATTGGTGGAAGAGCGCATTGCAACAAGCCATGTAGATTATTTTTTGAAAAAGTAAGAATTGATACTCCCTTGCCCAGTCATGGGTCCTGCGTTTTTCTTTTTACCCTTTGGGGCAGGCTTGGGTTTTGGCTTAGGTTTTGGCACGGGCTCCTCCTCCGAAAAGGATTCCCACCCAGGTTCGAGCTTTGTAACTGTAAATGACTGTCAGTCTAAGTGGGATAGTGGATAACAGGACAAATACTTACCAAGATACCCATCCTCGTCCTTAACTTGGACCTTCTTATTGACCTTTCTCCTCCCGCGCCTTCTCCCGCCTTCGGTGACAACGTTCACAACACTGCCAGTAGGGAGTTCAATGGGCTTCTTCTCTAGCGGTTCATGAACTTCTTCCGCCTCTTCTTGCTCTCCCTCGCTCACTTCTTCCCTTACTCTCCTGGGTTTGGGTTTAACATCTGCCAGTTATTAGGATCCACCAGACCACCAAGCTGGCGAGCGCAAATCATACCTTCATCATCACTCATCTCCATCATCTTATCAAGTTCCTCATATTTCTCCCTCCTTTTTCTAGCATCTTCAGCGGCGTCTCTAAGGAGGGCTGGTTCAAGATCATCCTCATCCTCATCGCTATCAAGATCCATCCCAACCAGGCCTAAAATCACCAGTTAGCGTCCGTTACGGCGATGATAGAACATGGATATAAGCGACCTTCCTCGGTTTTAGGGCTATGCGCGGTTGAAGAAGAATTGGATCCCGCCTTCTTATTGGCAGCATTACCCCATGAAGTAAGTAGATTGGAAGAACTCTGTTTCTTCAGTGCGGGTTTAACCGCCGATTGAGAACGCTTCATCTGAGTAGGTGCGGGCTTCTTCTCTGTTTTGGTCTTAGGTTCCTGTTTCACCTTAGTCCCCGTACCCAGCTTCGACTTGGCGCCAGGCCCCTCCTTTGCCTCAGTCTTCTCGTTCGTCCTTGACGCTGACGGACCAGCCACGGCATGCGGTCTGGCTGGTGGTCTGACAGGTTTTGGGGTTTTCTACCACCCGGTGAGCACAAATCCAACTTGGTGGCACGGAGAAGAGACCCACAGTCGCTAGATGATTAAGTATCATGCCGTAGACTTTGCCCGCAGCCTGTTCATCCTTGTAAACGAATTCCGAGCGAACCCTCTCAGAGCAAGCCGACAACACACTCAAATCCTTAATCCTGCTAGGTCCAAGGCTGTAAACATGAACAGTCTTGACGTTTTCGATTTCCGCTTTAACTTCTAAAATTCTCTCCACGTTAGCCACCTACTCACACCCCGAACTATTAACAGGAAGAGCAGGTGAAAACAAACCCTCAAGCTTCTCTTCACCGACCAACTTGACAACCTTCTGATACCTAAACCTCACCTCCCTCGGCGTAATCTCGAAGGGACTCCCACTCATATCCTCATCCTCATCCTCATCGTCCCCGACCTCTTTGATCACCTCCTTCCGCTCGCCGGTTATAATGTAGGTAGCGTAGATACTATCATCCTGCTTCTTGTGACACCTGTGGAATTCGTAGAGCATCTGCTTCGCGACGTTGACATGCACTTCGAGTCTGCGCGCTAGGATGCGGTAAGTGACCTTTAAAATTCCCGTGCTGTTATGTTAGCATGCAGCGCACTCGAGAATGTGGGGAAAAATACAAAAATAAATGAAAAAAATAAATCCTACAATCTCATGTTCATCAATGACAGAAGACTCCAGGTATTTCTTGAAGTCGCCCATTGTCAGTTCCTTGTCCTGGAGCTGAGAGGGTGAAAATGGAAAGTGCAGTTGGCCGGTTGGTGGAAGCGAGAATTCCGCGGGATAAATTGAGGTCTGGGGCGACGCGAGGGAAAATGCCAAGATATGGTCCATTTATTTTGCCGTGACGTCCTCACGCGTTTGAAAAAGGCTGACAAAGCCTTCCGATTCTCACTCGAATTTGGCGAACGTGGAAAAACACTTTGACACCGTACCCACTCCGATTATCGGTACAGTATAACAGGCAAAATATCCTTTTCCCTCAGTTCTGAATCTGAGGAACTCCCCCCTATCTACGATACCGTCTCAGGCCGGGGAGTGGGTCAGACGGAGAATTGAATCATCAAAAACGCACCAAAAGTCACAAAACGTGGAATCCAAATTGATGTCCGACGGTGGGAAGAGGAAGTTCAAGAAGGAGATATTCATGATGGCAAAGTATGCCGGATGTTTGCGTATTATACGAAAAGATTCACTTCTGTGGCTGACCCTCTTCCCGGTCAAATACGTTACGGGTATTTGTCTACCGTAGCAGAAATCCAGGAACCTGTACAGTACCGCACAGTTATGTTCCACCCCGTGGACGGATATCCGCAATTTTCTATACCCGGTCCACAAACCCCACACAACGAGTATCACATTCTCACACTCCTGCGCCTGATTGACGGTGCCCCGGCGCACGGTACAGGGGCGACACACAACCGGGTTTTCTCTGAGAGTTATTTTGGCGTGGAAGAGTAGCCGTGTGACCCACTGAGAGATCCGTTCTAGTGCCTAAATGTCTACAGGTGTTACCTGGTTATAGTAATCAATAAACCACAAGTCAAGGGTATACTACTACCAGTGTGATGATCTTTTCTATGTACAGTACAGTGCAGTACTCCGCAAGTAAACTCCACTGTACGAGTAATATGATAAGCTTCACAACAAAACTCACTAGGAAGGCGGCCCCGCGAAAGATTATGTCGACCCCCAGCTGCACGATACGTCTTCCCTACAACTTGCTTCCGCTTCATCCCACCCTGCGACCACAATCCATTGCATGATAGAATCCATAATAACGAGTCCTTGCCCCTATGACGTACAGGAACAATTCCTATTCCAGACATCCAACTTCTCGATCTGGGGCGTACCGGCATATTAGATTGAATTCTGATCTCAGAACTTTGGAAGAAAGAAAAAAAATCAACTTCAAATTCTGACTGAAAGAAAGCGCAATACTGACATGTACCATTAAACCTGTCCAAGTTACTCTTTTTCCAAACTTCCTCATCCTATCTTAGAATACCAACTAAGAAATCCAGATTTCCTCTTCTCTCTCTCTCTTCTTTTTTTTTGGAGGGGGGAGGACGTTTTGTTCACTGCACTAACATCCACGTCCAATATTTCACTTCCTACACGGCCGGCCACCACGTTCCCCTTACACTACATTACACGACACTTTACCGTTTCTCCATGACATACAATTCCGATGGGGGGGTTTTTTTTTGTCCTATACTGAAACGGTGAAAATAACGGAGACTGCCGGGGTCGTCGCGTATGGTACAGGCAAAAAAAAAAAAGAAAAAGAAAAATGCGGTCTTGAGAGTATTATAATACCAATTTCAATACTAACACTACCTGTAGTGATTCATTAATTACTGTAGTTTTAACTAACTTACCACACAGTCCAACCAGATATGACATTGGCTTGTCTGATGATGGTGATGATATTGTGCTAATTAATCCTTGTAAAATTCCGAACATCGCAACAGACCAAAATAACACCTCGATCGCCTGTGTGCACCGTAAAAGTAAAGTAAAGCAAATATTGGCACTGGCATTGGGCTCAGCTCATCGACCTGGTTTTATTCCATTCGATTTTGTTTGTGGTCACTGTAGCTCTTTCAAACCTCCAATGTCAGGACCGGATAAGATAGGATAGGGACTGGAAAGGGGACTCGCAGATGGGCGAGTGACAGATTATGATTTGTTAGAGGGAGGAAGTACCGGTATCATGACCACACCAATAACTTTTATCGGCCGGTATGCCAGCTAAAAAAAAAAAACCCCCAAAAAAACCAGGTCTACTATCATACTGCAGCTAATCCCACACCGCCGGAATGGTGCTATGGTTTTGCTTTTCGTCCCTCCCTACACATGACCTTCCCAATAACCATCGTGTCGAAACAAAGACAAGGAAGAACAGAACAAACAAACGGAAGGCTTGAAAAGGATAGATCGAAGGGTCGAAGCGAAGGAGGGGGAGACGGCCAGGGACTAGGAATGGGGAAGGAGTATTAAATAGGAGAGATCGGTGTCAACAACGGTCGCGATATGATACTCGGATTGCATAGCGAGTTCGGCATTGGTTCAGAGGGAAGAGGTGGTTACCCAGCGTCAATTTTTTTTCCTTTCCTTCTTTTTCTCCTGCTTGCCGGTATTGTGCTGTACCTTACAGCTGTAATTTGTCGTGCTTTCGGACCTCTTCCGGATCGGTATAGTAGTTATTTAGCGGTGCTCTAGCATTAGCGGGAATGTTGTTCCAGGGCACGGCTGACCTCCTCCGTGACCTGTTTCCTGCTATCATACGTTCAACGGTGTGGGTGGAACGGTCACAACGGGCCAGAATGTGAATGAGAGTTTTGGGTATAGTAGAAACGATCTGTTCCACGATCGGTCTGGAATGTGCGTTGGGTGTGGAAGGGGGAAAGGAGCTAAAGAGACGAGAGGGGAGTAATTTATCGCTAGTACTTGCTCCTTGTCGTGATAATTACTCTCTCCCGTTTCTGCAGTGGGTCCTAGAGCTCCTCCAAATACCATAGTTCTACCTGAAATGTCAATGAATCCGTGACGAATAAATAGCGTAACATAATTGCGAGTGGCTGCGCTGGTCACCTTGAGTCCGTTTAGGCATCTCACGGCACGGCGTTAGTTGTGCACGAGACTATAACGCGCCCTCTTATTCGGACACGAAAAATTGGCCATCTACCGTCCGGGGCATCATGATGTGTCCGTCGCGGCCACTGTCGCGGGAGATAAAAGGGAAATTCGGGGCTACCAGTATCACAACTCAGAATGTACCCCGATATCAAGTCCGAAATTCAATATAAAAACCCGAGATCAGGAAATAGCATAATAACAGTACAACTCCACCAAAATGCCAACATGACATACGAGAAAAAGAAAAAAAGAACTCTCACAAAGTTACATTCTCTATCCAAGGACAGTATGTGCAAGACTATGCTCCAATTTACATCAGGAGGGGAGGTATTCAGACATAGGAAATCGGTAGCTGCTAGCGCATTCTGACAGAAGAAAAAGAAAAAGTAAACTATCCACTGATAAACAAATGGGAGGTATGGAAAGCAGCAAAGGTATCAGTGATAGCCACCGTGTGTATGACCCCTAGCGCCTCTTCTAACACCGATACACTTCAACTACCATGCAAAAGATAAAGGAAATGGGAAAAAAAGAGGCGCTTGCGGATAAGTAGGTACACCTAAAAGTTCATCAAGTCTATCAAACGTTAGCAGGTCACCAAGCGCCCAGGAAAGAGAGTTTTGGCTCACCTCTGCCGAATAGAGCCCTCTTCCCCCAGTCCATAGCGAGCAGCATTCTCGTTCGGAGACTGACGCTCTGAGCAAAATAGACAGATCTGGACATCCCAGTTAGTCACCGGATATCCGAAGGTTGGCATGTCCTGGGGACTTACCTCCAGAGATACACGTAAATAAGTCCTCCGCCAACAGACAAACCGTTGAGGTCGAATACGGCAGCGTTTCCAATATACGCCAGACTTCCGAAATGCTTATACTCGAATCCCTTGTAAACCGCCTCATCCAAATCTCCATCTGTAACATTGTTCACGGCCAATCCAGGAGCAGCCTGTGCCAGCTTATTGAACTTGCGCGCCAGATATTGCCCTTGCTGGTGTGCCCGCTGAGCCGTAGCCGGCAAACTCGTTAGCTTGCTGTCAATCTGGCCTAGTAACTCTTTGAGCTCGTGAAAGTCCAGAGTTCCAGATTTATCCACATCGTATTGCTCAAACAAGCGGTCTAGCCGCCTGAGGTGATCGGTAGCCTGGGGAAACTTCTTCCTGACTCTTGCGGCCACATTCCTCCACATTCCAAAGTCTAAGGCTAGCTTCTCCGGGTCTGCCCCCTTCTCCCAGGCAATTTGCCTCAAAAAGTCGGTGATGTGACTAGCAATATTGTTTTGGACAGTGGAGCAATCTCCGATAGCATAGACGTCTCCTAAGGGTGTTCCGAGTAATCTAAGATGTGAATCGGTCTCCAGTGCGTGCTTGTTACGTTGTAATTCGAGTTGACCGGCAACGCGCTCAGCAAAGTCTGTCTGGGCAACACCGGTTGACCACAGGCACATGCCGAACGGAAGTTCCTTGGTGATAATCCCTCCACGCTCCTCATCTTTCTGAGTGAATATGACTTTGTCTTTTTCGATTCTCGAGACTCGGGAATTGGTCAAAACATCCACTTGATCACGAGCAAATCGTTCCTGCACCAAGCTATTAGCGATCATATTGCGAGATACTTTTGGATAGCACACCTCTGCATATCTCGACAGTGCCTCGTCATAGGTATTCAAGATGTGGCTTCGGGATTGCACGACATGAACAGACACCTCGTTCCGGAGAATTTTTGGATACTAGACAGCGGCCAGGTTAATCCTGTTAGGGAGCTGCGTATCCGGGAGCCACATACCACGTGAGTGAGGTCTTCATTCAGCATATCGAAAAGCTCTGCCGCAAACTCCACTCCTGTCGGTCCACCCCCGCAAATCACGAACGACAGCAATTTCCTCCGCTCCTCATCGGTAGTAGATGGCAAGCAGGCTCTCTCGAAGCACTCAATAACCTTTGACCTGATCCTCCTGGCGTCCGTGACATTCTTCAAAAACTCCACATTCTCCAACCCCTCGACTCCATGTGTTCGAGTTTTGGATCCTGTCTCCATCAGTACGGAGGTCACAATTCCTAGAAATTCCTCACGCTACTCACCGACGCCAATGACCAACTTATCGTAAGGCAGATAGAATCTCCTCTCTTCTCCATCGGGTAGCGTCTGGGAAACCTCCACCAATTTTGCCGAGAAGTCCACCTTCTCCGCATTAGCTTTAAGGAAGTGACCCTTCACCTTACTCGTGATTCTCCGAATCGGTTCAACCAAGGACCTAAGTTCCAACGTTCCAACAGTAGCGCTTGGCAACAAGGGCGTGTAGAGGAAATAATTGCTCGGCGAGACGACAGTGATATGGTAGTTATCCGGGTTTATATTCTTCAACAGAGCAACAGACCCCCAGCCACATCCCAGAACAACCAACCTAGGCTTACCCCTCTGGCTGAGCATTTCGTCACCGTCTTCGTCGTCCACCTAAGCCAGTTCCCCGAAGTCAGCTTTTCCATCATTCCACCATACCTGCTCACCCATGAAGGATGGGTGGATGGAACGGGATAATACCAACACCTCCGCAATTGGCAAATTCTTGGGACCGCCCCTCCTGGGATTCAACGCTAATTCCGGCACTCCAATGTCGTACTTCTCCGCCTCCTCTTTATAGGTGCTGGCATCGTAAATGAAGAATGCAACAACCAGCCCCGTCACCGTCAACCCGGCAAATCCACAGAACGCCGAAGTCTTGTAGATGAACCTTACTATCCCACTGCGCTTGGGCGTTTTTGCGCTGTTGGGTGTGGCTGTCGTTGCCGATGCCCGGGAATGCGTTTTGAGCAGCGGGCTGTTCCGTGCAGGGATGGTTTTCAATGAGGCATTGAATAGCGGGGGTGGTGATGCCCGCCGGGTGCTGAGCGCTCGAGAGGCGTGGGGTGACGGTGGCTTGGAGATTTGGCGGGTTAGTAGGTTCGTGCGAACGCCTAAGAGGGCCCGCTGCCGGAGCATGGTTGCGCGATTGCCGGAGCTGGTGATTGGGGGGGGGTAGCTGGCTGGTTTAGAGAAGAGGGTCGCCAGATGAAAAGCTACCGGCGAATAGACAAGCACAAGGTAGCAAAGGGGAGGTAGGGTAGATATGGGTGGAGGGGATAATGGAGCGTGTGGAGAGCACAGCAATGGTATCATACATAAACGAGATGGAGGAGGTTGAGGGGGGGGGAGGAGGAGGAGGTAAAAGGGCACGGTTTCTCCAATCCTTTCCTCAGCTCAGCTACCGTACAGTCCCGTAGACTAGTCTCGTAATCAACTCTGTTTGTGACTTTTAACCCTGTGACGCAATAATCAACGAGATTCCTCCGCTTATTCCCTCACCCTTCCATACCCGCACCCCTTCTACTGGGTTTCCCTTTCCTCATATCATCTCCCTGCCGGCAACTCGAGAAAAAGGCCGATGGACGCAGCTTCTGGAACGGTTTCAGGAGCATAGTCCGATCTGAGCATGGTAGGGGCTGAGTTGTGGGATCTCCGCACAGCTCTCGGCTTCCCCAGAGTGTACAGTACTCGTACAGTACTCGAGCACTAGCACATACTGTGCTGCATGCCGTATTCGAGGCCATCGCGGTGAGGGCCAAATCGTATGGTACTGTACTCGTAGGGGGAGATTGGTGCCCATACCGTAGTACTCGTAAACTATTGCTCGGCCAGTGGTCTACTGTACTTGGCACAATACTAAAGTACGGGTACTGTACCAGTGCCACGGCGTCACTACCCCAACAGTATGGTCTCACCGGTTATCATACTTGTACGAGTACTATGATAGGAGAGCACCAGATCACTTGTGCTGGAGTCGGTTAGAATCGCACCCAATCCTCAATCACATCGGGAGCCGCAGCATTGCCAAGAATCCGCCAACCCTATCTTGAATCACAGACTCTTCATTCCTACAGTACTCGAGTACCTGGTACTCGTACAGCATCATACATATTCCTCCTGTCCCCCACACGAGCACGAACCCTAGTCCCTCTACTCCGAACCCCCACAGTACCAGTCCACAAAAAGGCAACCCTACTCAACTAACCTCTCGAGATGAACGCCCCAGACCGGTAAAAAGCTTCCTCCCACCTCCCCCCCCCTCCACTTGTAGCTCCCCGGTCCAACCCTACCATACCCATCGATGACTGACAACCCCTCCCCTCCCCTATCTCCAGCTTCGAGCTCTTCCTCCTCGGCGATGGTGAGACCAAGGTCTCCATGGAGCAGGACACGCGCCAGCCCAACGCGGCCATCTTCACCTTCAACAAGGAGGACCACACGTTGGGCAACCTGCTGCGCGCTACGCTCTTCCACAACGAGCACGTGATATACTCCGCGTACAAGGTGCCGCACCCGCTCTTCCCAAAGTTCGAGCTGCGCATACAGACGGATGAGGAGACGACGCCAAAGGAGGCGCTGTTGGCGGCCTGCCAGAGCCTCATTGGCGACCTGCAGATGCTCAGCCAGAAGTTGACACGGGAGTGGGAGCTTAATAAGATTGCGAGGGATACTAGTTAGGTGGGTGGGTAGGTGGTTCAGGGCATGGGGGGAAGAGGGGGGATTATTCTTCGGGATTTGGTTTATGAAGAAGCGGGAACAAGAGGGGGATTTGGGTTATTGGCGGTGGTGTAGTTGTTTGTGCGTATCGTGTACAAAACTAATGTCCATGAATGCGGGGAATTCTCCTTTTTCCTTTTTTTTTTTAAAAAAAAAAATCACTGAGCTCGGCGGACATCATGGAGTCGGAATTTTTGGCGCACATGAAAGAGTGCGAATTTCCCATGACATATAGCTTCAATCCCCTTTCACGGTTGGATATTCCCCAGGTCTAGGCATAGCACAACATCACGTCCGGGTCTGCCACACCATCACTGCCAACGAGGTAGCACCGGGTTGTTGGTCAAAGTTTATGCACTCGACTACTTCCACGGCATGGGCTCTCTCACATAAAATATCACCGCCACTGCAACCGGTGATACGGTAGCTTTCATATCTGAATTTCATATGCAAAAAAGCGCACACAGACCAGTCAGAGGTCAACCAACCAGCCAGCCAGTCCTACAAATATCATATCACATAAAAGCCCCATCCCATCCCATCCCATCCCATCCCATCCTTCCATGACTTCATAACATAACCACCGCATCGTAGGCTTCAGACAACCACAACAATATTCATGCCCCCCCCAATCCAAGCAGACAAGCAGACAAGCACATAACGAGCGATACCCGCTCCCCTGGTAAAAAAAAAATAGTAGTGTATATAGTGTAAAAAGGAAAATGGAAAGGCCTCCGAAAACATGAGATATGAATGACATGAAATGAGAGAATCACAAAATAGCATCCGCCCACCCCCTTGATCCGTTCAGCTAGCTAGCCAACTAGCTGCACCGTAACAACGGGAACTTGAAGATAGAGGGAGGGGCTTCACGCATAGAATAGCGCAGCATACCGAAACCCCATAGACGCCAAGTTGGAGAATCAAGGTATGAATAGTGGAGAGGAACTGAGAATGAAGGAAAGGAACTTGGGAGATATGGAAAAAAGAAAAAGAGAGAAAAAGGAGAAACCTTGGCTATAGTTTAACCAGACAGGAAAAGAACCAGAAAGATGCCCCGCGTGATGGGTACAAGAAATATGAAGAGAACAAAAAACAAGAGACTCCCATCTCCAGCCGACCTACAATATTCTAGCTACCTTTTGATAGACAATCTGGAAGCCGAACACACACTTCCTGCCTTGGTCGCCATTGCTTCGTATTCAAACAATCATCTATTATCCGACCCCGCGAGCCCACACACCCCGAACAGCAGAAAAATCAAACAAGACAAAGCGCTAAACAGCCACGATCACCCCCCGACACTCGTGAGTTACTAGACCGGATCTGCGACTCTCCTACCCGCCGTGCCCGCCCCGCCACGCCCGATATGGCCGCCGCCAGAATTACCTCCTCCATTATAACGGTTGCTCTTTAGTCTCTGTTGGGTATACCCCTTCTTATTGCCTGCGTTGCGCCTCCCATCACGGCTCAACACTTCGATGGATGCGCCTCCAGGAAGATGGACAGGAATAAATTTTTTACCCTCCCCATTGATGAAATCCTTTTGCCCGAATGGATGGAATATGTCGATAGTCTGGAGCTGCCATCTCGGGAGAGGCCGTTTGTAGGGTTTTGGCAAGTTGACAATCGGAATTTTCTTGGCATGATTTGCGTAGATAGCGGGGAGAGCATGGGGGAGTTTAACAGTGGGCGTAGAGCCAAAATCGCGTTCAAAAAGTTCGTGGAAGAACTCCTCATTATCAGGCTTGGTGAGAATGGATGCCTCATTGATACCATAGCTATTAGTGCTCCCCTCTATACCATATGGCTGGGGCGGAAGAGAGACCGTCGCTGGTCTCGAAACAACCCTCTCTGGGGATTCATCGAATAAAGGTTTGGTTGATGAGAAATCCCTTGACGTAGGTCCTTTTGGTAGTTGAGCTTGGAGATTTGCTGTCTGCTGGGGGGGTGAATGTTTCTGGGTCATGCCGAGAATCTTCTGCTGCACGGCTTCAAAAGCCTGAACCCCCGAAAATTGCGGCGACTTGGGATGGCTCATCCTATGATGCCCATTCATGTACAGAGTGGGTGATACTCTTCCGTGAGGATGTTGGTAAGGCCCGTGACCAGAGGGGGGAAGTTGCACAACCCGGGAATTTATATCCCCATGAACTGGATGCTCGGCAGACATCGGAGGCGGCGGGGAGCCCGGCGGGCCAAGTCCCTTGGTGGGAGATTGGAAGGATTTAGGTTGAGTCCCCAAATGCTGAGCGATGATATTCCCGGCCGCTGCCGGGAAGAATCGAGAGGCAGGCCGAGTCGCTGCTGGCCCACTCGAAACGTTGGGTGCTGGACCCGTGGGATGACCAGATCCTACCCTACCGCCTTCCACGCCAGTACCTACAGTTGCAGCCAACGGCCCTCCAGGAAGTTTCTCAGTGGAGTTTGATTGCTCTACCTCTGGAGGGTCTTCACTTTTGCCAACGAATTTGGATTCAAATTCATTTCCATCCGTCTTTCTCCATGTTTCAACCAGCTTAGGCGGAACTATACCTGGTTTCTTTACACCGGTGGCCGCCTCCTCCGCTTGTTTAGCAAGGTAGGCTTCTCGATCCTTTCTCCGTTGCTCGGCTTCATCCTCAAGGATCTTCCCGGGCAGAGCATTCCAACGGTTGACAGCCTGAGTCCTGTCATCCTGAGATAATCCACCTCGTGAGAGTCCTGGAGAGGTTGGCGGACCCCTGTTGTTACGTCTATCATCCCTAGCACCTTGTGGATAGGCAGGTGCAGGCGGTGGTGGTCTTGTCGAAAATCCAGAGTATCTATTATCGAACGTCCCGTTTCCAACTCCATTCACGCCCTGAAACTTGGGCTTTTCGATAGGTCCCCACGGATTGGGACCAGAGCCTTGATTATTCTGGTGCGCACCGCCCCAACTAGTATACCTGTCATTGCCCGGAGGCACATGTTTCCACGGTTGATCCTTAGAATCCCTAACGGTGGGCATTGCGAAGCTCTTGTTTGGAGACCGATTTTGCGTGGTATTCAAAGAACGCCGGCCTTGAGGTTGGGTAGGAGGGTAACTATGGGGATGCTCATACCGGTCCGATATAGGCCGGGCTTCAGCAGCCTTACGAGCTGCTTCTTCCTCCGCAGCTTTTTTCTCCGCGATGATCCTCTCTTCCTCGGCCTTTCTATCGGCCTCAGCCTTTTCCTCAGCCAATCTCGCCTCTTCCACCGCTCGCAGTTCGGCCTCTTTTTCCTCCAAAGCTTTTTTTTCTAATTCTTCAAGCTTAACACGAAGCCTCTCTTTCTTAGCGGCTTCCTCTTTCTCTTCCGCCTCCTGTCTGCGCTTCCTCGCAACCTCACGACGTTCCTTCATAATCTGGTCCTGCTGGGCAACTATATCTTCTATGGGAGTCTCTGGAATGGCTGGTTCAATTGGCGCGGCTGCCGGAGAAGAGCCCTCAATGTTAGAGGCTTGGTTAGAATTCTCGAATTTGGCGGGCAAACTAGTTTGGTTATGGTCTTGGTATGCATCCGTCGAGTAATGGCTCATAGGGCCAGGCCTTATCGGAAATCTCCCATCTTCGGGGGTTGGGGGTTGTTCGAGCCCAAATTTGCTAAAAGACGGCCTCCTTCCAGTACTCCCACTGCCACCGCTAACGTTCGACGATGTTCTTCTACGCCTATACTCATCGGGCCTGTGGTGCATCATACTGCTTCGCTGTTGTTGGAAAGCCGGCGAAGGCTCTGCTGGAGGGGGTGGTCCAGTGGGGCGTTGCAAGACTGATGGCTTATCAATATTTCCTTCGGCCCTAGTTCTGGGGGCTTTGTTTCTAGACTCCTGTACGGGCTCAAGCTGACCAGTTTCGGAATTGTACAATTCCCGCTCTCTTGGCCCTTGGGCATGATTTCCATCACGCCAAGAGCGGCCATAAACGTCTGCAGAAACTTCCTTCATCCCATGGGGCTGTCCTGAAGAATGATTTGCGATAGGCTCCGTCGCATAGTTAGAACGACGGTGGGGCTCCAAATCTCTTGGTTGAGACATGTTGGAAGCCAGGGATTGAACGGGAGGAGGGGAGACTTTTGCCCATGGTGACGCTCGGACAGTGGGAGGAGGCGCCTTCTCAACTGGCTTAGAGGTAAGCCTCTCAGTAACCAAGGTTTTAGGGCGGACTTCTTCCTTAGCAGTCGCAGGGAAAGGCGTCTTTGGTGGTGAGGTATCGACAGCAGCAGGCGGCGCCTCTTCGACCCTTGCAGGGGGGGTCGGAGACGGGGCAATCACAGGTGGAGTTGGCTCGACGGGAGCTAGCTTAAGAGCATCCCCCCATTTCTCGGGGACTTCCGGTACCCAATCGTCGTCATCATCGTCGATATCGGCCCACTTTGCACCGGTGCCTTCGGGGCCAAGTCTGGATGCCATATGAATGCCAAAATCTTTAAGCTCTTCATCCGTAACGTCCTTGGTCGGAGGTGGTGGGATTGCTACACAGGATTAGTTAAGACTCTCAAGGAACAGAATCATCGGAAACCCACGTTGGTTCTTGTTCCACACATGTTGCGCCTGTTCGTTGCGCTTTATGCTGGTAGATAGAGAAGATCCTGTGCCGCCGGGCCTAGACGACTGCGAAGTTCCACCGGTCTTGACAAGCTTAAGTTTAGATACTGTAGGACCACGGGGAGTAGGTTGGTGCGAAAATGCTAAGTTGCCTGCACACAGCACAAAGGAAATCAGTTCAAGGATGCAATTTACGTCGCGCGAGGTATACACCTTTGGTACCAGAAAGAACGGAGCTTAGTGGGTTGGAGGCAGGTCCACCGGTAGATATCTGTTCCTTAAGAAAAGCCTTATTCAGAGAAACCGGTTTGAATGTAGGTTTTTTGAGAGAGGCTTTTCTATCGAGAAGCCTAGAACCATCTGCTTTTGTGGGAGAAACACTTCCGGGTCGAGAACCAGGCGCGCCGATTGTCTCCGTGTATACCTTCAAACCGGAATCGGTAGGATTGGCTCCATTCATGTGACCCCGCTAAAGGAGAATTATTAATTTCCAGCTACAGCGACATGCAGAAAGAAGGAGGGAGGGAGAAGAGCCTACAATCACATCCGAGTCCGCACTAACAGTTCCACTACTAATACCACCCACCGAAGAAGTTCCAATAGAAGTTTTGTTGTCATTTTGATGCGCAAGCGTGTTATCGTTAATAAGCATTCCGCTCGGGGCGGCGATCGGGTTAGATTTTGTGTTTGCATCAGCGTCGGTCGTCGAGGTCTCGACAACCGACTCCACTAAAGACTTTTCCACATTGCTGAGAATGTTCGAATCTGCCATAACAGTAAGAGGACCTGTAGGCATCAGCTTTGCGCAATACGAATACGAAATCCCAGAAGGCGGGTTTTCGTAATAAGAAGATCCTAGAGAAGTGCATGTAAAGAGCTCTGAAGCCATGTTGTCGGGTATTGCCAAATGGCGGCTATGTTAATAGGTATGATTGTGAGAAGAAAAAAGCCCCAACCTATTCAAGTAGCTTAGACAGAGTCGCCAAAGTAAGTAGGCGCTATCAAAACGTATGTGCCGCGAGGGGCCGTAATAACTCGAACTGTGGGGGGGGGGCGGAATGAATAGAGATTAGCCCGGGGAACGTGAGTTGTGGGAAATGTGTTTGGAAATATGTAGGGAAGGGAGACGGGTGGTCAAGGTGGAGGGAAAGGAGAAGAGGAGAGGTAGTGGCAGTCATATGATAGCTGAGATGGGGGGAGTGACCGACACAACAAACTAGGGCTCGGAGCTTAAGTCTAGGGCCACAAACCTTAACTATGAATAGTAAGTATGGGTAGGCAGTTGTGTAGGACGATGACGAAGGATTAACGGTATTGAATGAGGTTGGGTTCTTTGAAGGGGAAAAGGGAGAGGTGGAGAGGTGGAAGGGTTGATGATATCCTATTCTCCAGAAGCGGGAGAAGGGGGGGGGTATTCTCTATGAAGGATAAAGGGGGGAGGGGGAGAACAACAGGAGGAGGGGGGGGGGGAGGGGCGGAGAGATGGTGGGGAAGGGGCTGAAAGTGAGGCGACGATGGGGAAATGCGGTGATGTCGCTTGGGCTAAGGCAGAAGGGAGGGCGATCCTTAGGCCGGAGACGGGTGCCAAGATATCCTGTCCAGTTAGGGACTACCCGTAAGGGCACAGAGCGGTAACGTCGATGGCGGTTGATGGGCCTAGGGATACAGGGACACCAGAATACAGAAGTCTGGGCTCCAGCAAATCCCTTCGGCTCTGATGCGCGTGGCATTCGCCTACCATGCTTCTCCATCCCCACAACATCTAGTCTATCTCTTCACCCTCTCCCCCTCACTCTACAATATCTACCGCTAATTCTTCCACACCTCTTTTAGCCCCCGATCGCTCTCTTCAATCGGGGCCACAGTTGGAACACAATATAAACAGTGCGCTCCCCCATCCACGCCCGGAACCAGAAAACGGCCCCAGCTGTCAGAACTGTGCATGATATGCCGGTAATTTATACATAAAGAAAGTAATACGAAATCCCTCCAAGGTATAATTTATTCTTCGAAAAGGGTAAACTAGCATCCTTTATCCTTGTTTTTATTTACCGGGGCGATAGCAATAAGAATGCTCTGAACCCGAAACTGGTCTATTCACCCTTTGTATTCCACTGCTACGTGCCCAAACTACTGTTTTTAAGTACAAAAGCAACCACCAATGAACCTAAAAGTGGATGTGTCCTCAAACGCGCCCTCCAGCGCTTAATGAGCGTTGTTCTTGTGGTGGCCTAATGCAAACGTCAGCGAAACCGACATCGTGATATATTGGGTGCAATAAGCCATACGAAGATGGAAGTAGTATGCCTGGCCATACCCTAACTGTAAAATCAGGTTCATTAGTCTCAATTTTCACATATTTTATACCGCGGTCGAGCTTACGACAAGGAGAAACCCGATAACGTGAACAATAGCTTCATGATTGTATCCATTAGTCGAGCCTAACGCGTCTGCATATACTGCAGAGAACTGAGGGAGAACCACATACGCATGCCGCTTGGGTTCTTCCCAAAATACCGGGCCTGGTATCTCTCGAACGGGCCAGTGGGCTTCACCTCCGGCGCCGGACCTATGAACGAAATATCTCAGTACGACGGGAGAAAAACACGAAAGAGCTCCATAAATCACTTTATGCGCTCATTGCCCCATACCTCTTGGGAGCTTGCCGTAGAAATCTACGACACGAGCCATCCTAGATGCATCCTTCGCAGCTCCGATCTGTTCCGAATATAAAAACCGTCAGTCAATTGGACCATCTCGATATTCAACCGTTTAAAAGAGAGATCCATCCCTCCAAGTATTCTCAAAGGGCGATAATAGGCTTGAGGAGAACGAGAGAGATTCTTACACCCTAGACCGAACAGTTAGATGGGTGGGCCGCGACACTCCCGATAAAACAGTGGGGAAGAGGGGTAAAGCTCACTGATGGCGAGGCAACCTTCGGGGGGATGAGAGTAGAGATTCCACGGCGGAAAGCGAGAGACATGGTGGATATCGCAGGATATAAATCGATTGAGCGGTGTGTTGCTGCCGAGGATGTTTATCGAAAAAGGAATCCGAGTGCGGGACAAAAACGATGGAGAAACCAGGAACAATACTGATGGTGGTTAGGGTTCGCCTCTTCACTAAACGCCGCATCCGGCGTGGTACGATATGATAGGATTGTTGGAGGTGCTTAGTAAGTAGCGAAGAGCACCACCTAGTGACTAAGCCCACCATACCGGTATGTAGTCTACTCGAGAACAGTATGATATATACCTGTTTGGTCTGTGCGCTTCCCAAGGCTTGTCGAACCTAACTATTCCCCGAGAGTCAAACCTTCCCTCCCCGTTACCGGAAAACGCTCCTCCTTCATTTCCACTCAAGACACACGCCCCTAGCGGATACCCTCCAGAGATGCTGTTCTTCCCCGCATCACGGGTGGTTTTCACCAGGCAGGCTTTGCTCCCTGTGTCCCGGTTGACTCTTCTCCGCTGCAAAGGGACCGCAGGTTCCCTTCCGACGGAGAGCCCAAACCAATCTGTGGCCACCGCAGCTCCTGCCGCAAACACAGAGGTGGCATTCCCAGAAGCCGAATCGGAGGTGCCCAGTGACTTTGCCACCAGGTATGAAACAACTCAACCTTTTCTTTCCCGGTTGAGCTATCGCAATCTCGTTAACTGGCGGTCTGGCCACATACAGCGCATACTCCCCCGTCAACAACTTTCCCGCGCAGCGGGGCGCAAACGATGCGCTCGATGCTGCATCAATTTCTGGCGCCCCACTCGATCTACAGGCGAGGACTGTGAAGATTTATAAACCTTCGAAGCCCGCCACCCAGTCTGGAAATTGGAATGGAAGGCAGTGGAGGATGGATTGGGACGTCCTCCCGAAGGGTACTATCAAAATCCGGCAATCAATCGGCACAACTTGAGCGCTGACGGGAGCTTCAGGTCACAGATGGGAGAACCCTTTGATGGGATGGCAGTCCAGTGGCGATTTCATGCAAGGAACACACATTTTCTTCAAGTCTAAAGAGGATGCAATTGCATTTGCTGAAAAACAAGGTACTTGGGCTACACAAGAATTCCCTGGACGTTTCACTGATGGGGCTCATAGGTTATAAATGGCTCGTCCAGGAGCCCAATGAAAGGGCCTTCAGGTCCAAAGTTTATGCTGCAAACTTCCTCGTATGTGTGGCTGCTCCTGCCCTCCCGATCACTTGCTAATGGCCCGATCTAGCATTCCCCTAAGGAGCTCAAGATAATCCGAACCAAATAGAAGCGACCTGTGGCTCATCTCATCCACTAGAGCACATCACCGTTTCTCGGGATAGGGTAACAGGCGGGTAGACTCGTATATAATCAAATCCTTGGCATCAACTTATAGTGTGTCTATTTGATTCTTTTGTAGCCGTGTGTATTGGTATCTATAGCTTCTTATATTTTCGGGAGTGGGGGTCACAAGATATGTGTTTCCGGACTGTTTGTTTCAAAACCAAGTGCGGGTACTTGTGTCACAAGGGAAACTTGCTTAGTTCGGAACGGAAGGAAGACATGATATACCGGTACAGAACAGGGATAATGGCCATGGACCGCGCTACCACTACCCCAACATCAGGCTTAAAATAGATTAAACCATGGCCGAATAAACACCCACAATCTGACCTAACTTCCGAAATACCTCTCGTCAATCCACCTTCTCTCAAACCCCTCCTGGATCTTCCCCACAATGATCTTCAGTTTTGGAAACACCTTCGTCAACCTCCTCAGCCCACCAAGGCCAGCAAGATAAGTGACGAAGACGATCCTCTCCTCCTCAACACCATGATCCTTCAGCACTGTCACAGCCATCAAAGCCCCGGCCCCGGTCGCAACTTGGGGATCAAGTACCAGAACACTATCCTTGGCTAAACTCGAAGGCAAGTTCTGGTAATGCAACTCGGGCTCTCCAGTGCGAGCATTAGACTGAATCAATAGTCTCCCAATCCTAGCGTCAGGGACCACCCTCCTAAGTCCAACTTCAAGAGTGCCTCCTGAGCGGAGAATAACAACCGCGCTAACGTCTTTAGACAATTCTAATCCCGCATAAGTAATCCCCTGTGGGGTTACGACCTCCTTAGGCTTGAAAGCCAGATGATCCGACCCGCGCTCGACCAGTAGAGTTGCCAGGCGGTCGAAATAGAAGACGAAATCCTCGCGCGTGGTCTCCTCGTCATGCAGAATTGTGTGCATCGCTCGGAGCTGTGGAGTATCCTTTAGGACCTTGACGCTTGCCGGGAGGGGCTCATCGGCATCATGGCCTTGGCCGAGGGCCCGGAGGGTTTTGATGTGCTCGTCGGATTTGGTGAGGAGGGCTCTTTGGATATGCTTCGTTATCATGTCTTGGTTGAGGTTAGATTGGTTCGATTGTGTTCGTGGTATTATGGACTGGGGAGTAGTGGCGGACCTATTGCGATAGAGTTCTCGATCCCACGGGGGACCATGATGTCTATTTCTTTATTAACAGTAGTGGTTCGCTGGGGATTGTGTACGAGCGCTTACCCGCATTTTTCTTCTGCGGTTCGACGTATAGTTCGAAGTTTGGCTTAACGAAGGTTGTCCATTGCTTGATTGCCCCGTGGATGCTAGTAAAGTCAACTAGTCTATCCACGTATTAGCAGAAGGGGTCGGGGAGATTACTCTCTGCCACGGTATTTGATGTCTCGGGCCACTGCAGCAGTTTGTTTTTAGCAACTATTATACTTTCATTGCGAAAGGGGGGCGCCATATAACCCACATCTCCTAGCAAGACAAACGTCGGCATCTGTGTCGACAAATATCCTCATGTCCAGCAACTCCAACACCCGAGGGTCGTAAAGAGCAAGGATACCCTCTAGGATCAAGACATGGCAAGAGTAAATTGTCGTCGTCTGCTCTACTCTCTGATGTTTTTCAAATGAATAGACCTAAAGTATTTCCAAAGCTTTTTGTTTTAGTCCTACCTCTTACCGTGGTACCTTGCCCATCCGCAAGCAGGACAAAAAGGATAACAACGTACGGGGATCTCCGCTTTTCTCCTGCTTGTTGTTCAGCTAGATCTGTTTTCGACATTTGAATTTCGCGAGAAGAATGGGATAGGGATGACGCACCCTTGCTTTAGGTCCCTGAGCCTTTCTACCAATTCGTCGAAATCAAGAGAGTTCGGGGAGTCAAAGTCATATTCATTCCTAAATGCCTGTGCGGATTCTTCCGGGTTCAAGGACTTGTAGAAGGAATCCTGTTGTAATTCCATACGCCTTTAAAATCACGAACTCCCTTTTATCCTTTCCTCAAAATATTGTGGGGAGGTTCAAAATCCCCCCACTTTAGGATGGTGCGGGATGTTTTGTTGGAAAATACAGGTATATTTACCATCGATAGGATAACCACCCAGGGTAGGTTCAGTGCGCCCACGATACGCACTGCAAGGGAGGTTTTCCCTGAACCGCTAGAGCCAGCAATGCCAATAATCTACAGCTTGTTACAAGATTGATTAGCTCATGTATTCCCCCCCTCTCCGGCAGTGCCCTGGATGGAAAGGCTTTTGCACACACATGAGTATTTGCCCACGGAGGGCTATAATGAACGACCATGATGCGGGCTCTCTTTGCTTCTCCTTTCCTTTTCTTCTTGACAGAGTTTGTGCAGAATGTAGGGGGAAGGGGTAGAGAAAAAAAAAGTCGACAAGCCACGTGCAAAGGCACGGGGAGGTGATAGAAAAGCGACAAAATAATAAACAAATGTTGTATTGTACAACACTCCCGTAGGCAGTATGGATATGCGGTACTCGTAGAGTGGCCTTGCTTTCCCCCTTCTCTGTCTCTATCTCTCCTTAATTGTTTGCCGCTCTGCGGTCCGTGTGCGGGTTTGTGCGGTCCGGTGACAGGTGGTGGTGTGGAAGCACGCAACAATCCAGGGTTTGGGTTTGCCAGCTCTCTACCAAGTTACTGTGCCCGCATCGTTAACGAACTAACGAACCCGGTGGCATAGCGAGGAATGTGGTATGAAATTTTTGGAAAACAGCAGGGTAACCACGGCAAAGGTTACAGATTATAAGGCGAGAGTTAGTAGCAAGTATAATGAGGTGAAAAGGCTTCAACAAGGGGAAAAATTGGCTACTGAACGGGTGGAGGAGGGAAATCCGGGGTCAGCTTCGCATTATCCTTTTAGTAGTACGAGTATGCCAGTGATACCTTAAGAATATTTTTTAAAAAATAATTAATTGAAATATCCAGTAGCTGTACTATTTTAATACAGTAGGCAGCTTTTTACTAACATGTATAATGAATAATATAATAATATTATTATATGCCTTAAGTACTAGAAAATCCAATACATTAATTGTTTTATAGCAAGCAAGAAGGTTAAGAGTAAGTAGTTCTGACTAGTTATTCAAAATAGAAACTAGCTACTATTATATATAGAAGTGTAATCAGTATGGAACATGACTAAATATATAAGGTTACATGTTTGACTCTGGGTCCCACCATAGTAGTTATCATAATGATATCATATTATTGTATGAAATAATAAGGCATCTATGCAGCCTGCTCTGAGGAGATATAAGGCATATAACTGAGGGGTTTTTACTAGATAACATAGAAGAAGCTTCATTCTATAAGATAAGACTTAGTTGGTTCAGATTGATCAGTTAGAAATAAAATTACGACCACTGTAAGTCTACATACTATTGCTCTTGTAGAAACAGAAAACAATACACAAACCCCTTATGCTCATGGGAACCAGAGTTATCTGAAGACTGGTTTATGGTTGCTAATGATTAATAACAACTTACTGGTTGAGTTAGTTATCTTTGTTATAAACCCTAAACTATGTATATAGAAGGGTAATTGATAAGTCCTTTAACAGAGTTGATCACTCCACTCAGAAAAAGAGCAGAAAAGTTAGTTTTCAGGGTCAAATAGAGTTCGTACTCTGAGGACACTGAATTGTTAGTATAGTAGGTATATGGTCAGTAAGGGATTGGATGTAGCCTGTGACCACCCAGAGGCAGAATATAAATATCAAGGTGTCTTTCTAGCTTTGAAGTCATTCCCCATTTCGACCATGCCTCTAGTGATTAAAAACTCAACACTATAGTTACTATCGTAGCTTTTATTGTCTAGCACCACCACTCCTCCTATTTTCAAGTTCCTCTATCTAGTCTCGGCTATAAGAGATAGGCTTACTTCCCTTCTCCCTTAAGGTCTTGATTTATTTCTTAACTCTCTTGGTTCTCTCTCTAGTTAGAGTCCTTCATTCTTACAATGTTTCTCCTCTTCTTTTCCTACCTCACTTAAGCATTAATATGGTTGGCAACTTCCTCACCACCAGCAGCAGATGGCCAGGACTACAGTTTGTAATAGAAGAAAACAACTAATAGGCTTTAGTTGATTTCTCCATTCTCTTGTTCCCTAAGAGGCTGCCTAGTTAGACATGAATATGATTACCGATAGCTACTGTACACAGTCTTGGGTCTATCCCTCCACTTCTCTTCTCTACTATCAGATCGGCTGGCACCCTACTGCTACCCCCTTTCAAGCTAGTACCTTACTGCCTTATCCATCAATTGTCTCAGAGAATACACAGTCATTGGCAGGCCTGCTACATACCTTCTCTCCTCTCTTCTTAGTCATCTCCTTTAAGATGGTTTTTCTTATACCCTTAGCTGCTGGAGTTTTAGCTCTAGCTCCCTAGGCCCTTGTCTTGGCCTAGGATTCTGTAGTACTATATTCTTTGGCCCTTTGGGGTTTGGTTTAGGTTTCTGCCTTTAGGTATTTTATTCTTAGAATTGGATGAGTTCTTGATTCACTGTCGGGTAGTTAGTTTTCTTTTGTTGCTTGATAGTTGGGGTTATTGGGTAGAACAGTTGATGGAAGGAATTTTAGGCAGGAGTAGTTTTTTCTACCTCAGAGGGTTTTTTTTAGCTCTGTCATTTGGCTCGGGCTAGGAGGGACAGTTTTTTAGACATCATAGCTAGAACTCCATGTCTTTTTATCCTATTAACAAAAATTTAAATAAGTCAAATATAAAAAATAAAATAAAATATCCCTAACTTTAAAGTTATCATTAGCGACTGGAGAAGAGATCTTATCATTATATTGAAAGTATTATCTGGAGTGATGAATACAGTATAGAAAAATCTAAAGATCTAAGGCAGCAGTGGATTTTCAGAGAACCTGGAGAGAAGTGGCTGGCTGACTGTATTTATTTAAAGGAGAAGGATAAGGGAATTTCTCTTATGGTTTGGAGGTGCTTTTAGGGTAAGAGAAAAGGTCCTTTGATTCCTATTACTCAAAATATCAATAAGACCAAGTATATTAGACTCCTGAGAAGACATCTTTTTCCTGTTATTCATCAGATAATTTTCTTTGGTATGCAAGACATCCTGTATCAGCAAGATAATACCCCTGTTCACAAGGCTTATAATGTTATGGATTGGTTGGAGAGGAATTTTATTGAAGTTGTGGAATACTCCCTTTACTCCCCTGATTTAAATCCTATTGAGCATGCATGGGTTGAGCTTAAAAAGTAATTATACTAGCAGTATCCAAGGATTAGAAATACCCTAAGAGGAAAAAAAGCTGTCAAAAAGAGGCTTGCAGAAGTATTACCTTTGGTTTGTAAGATAATTCCTGAGGAGTTTTTTGAAAAGTTGTGGAAATCAATACCAAATAGAGTAGCTGTAGTTTTGAAGGCAAAGGGAGGTTATACAAGGTATTAGGTAGTATTCTTTACTTGAATTAAAATTTCTACTTTTATTTAATTTATATAGAGAGTTGATCGCGAAGTATTGATTGTAAATGATTTACTATTACTTCCCATTGATCTTTCATGGCTATTGACAACCCAATCCTCTACCCACCTTACAGACAAATAGCGCAATCACAATTTATCATGTCTTAAATCACGAACACTTTTTACAAGGGGCTGTAGGATAAGAAAAATTTAATTTGGTGAGTAGGCTATCCTACGAAACAAGTTCTCTGCTTTGTCAGCAGGATAGAACTTATATACTAAAAGAAAAAAGTATCATAACTATAAAATTAACTATTTAAAAGTAAACTTTTTTATTTGAATAGTAAATTAATATTAATAACTTTAATATAGTTTAATAGTATTTCTTTATAAATTTTTTACTTACTTTCTTCTTTCTATAAACTAATTCTGCTATTAGTCAATTACTTAAAAACTTCTGAAATCTCAAACTTTAAATTACATATAATAATAAGTGCTTTTTTCTATTATCTTATATATTTATTTTAAGTATTTCTTGATACTTAGAATTTTTATATTAGCTTGTATAAAATATAAACTTGAATAAGATTTATGTGTTTAAAGGCCATTGATTTCTATAGTAGAAACAGCAGGTTTTAGTTGACAGTATTTCTATGATAGTACTTTGAGTATACTAGTACTTGGTTAGAAAATTAGTTCTTAATTTCTTAGAGCCTGTTTGGTTGCGATGGTCCCATTCAGCACCGTTCCCTTGTGAAACAGTTTGGGCTGGAGAGATGGTTGTTGACCATTTGGCACCTGTCAGTTCTAGGTAACATATTTACATTGATAGTTAACCTTTCATGTTACTGCATAGCAGCCGGACTGTTATTTATGGTTGCTATGAAACAGAACGGTCCATGCCTTTCTCAGTGGCCAAACAGTCATTTGTATGGGACAACAGAACGGAGCCATCGCAACCAAGGGGGCCCTATGGGTATTTTTCCTTTTATCGTGCCATACTTGTACAATATTTTTCGCTATGACATGGGGTACGTTACCGTACCGGTAGACTACTGCTGGCTTGTGTAGCCTGCATCACGTTGGGCTAATGAGGGAGACTCTTGGCACGGTTCACATCCCTTCCTACCTTATCGTCGATCAGGTTGTGAAGACCATCTCTCTCTTTCTCCCCCTCCAAATACTTTTTTTTCGATTTCGTCTTCCGCTTCCCTGCTCTCTTCCTGCCCCTCCGTCGGCGGGTATTATACTCCTTTCATACGAACACGTTAACGTTAACCCGAGCCGCTTCTCGTTCGTTAATCTTTCCTAATCACGACAAATCCAACCCTCCCGTTTCGTCCTTTTCCTTTTTCCCTCCCCTTCCCTCCATTCCTCTTCTTCTCCCCTCCATTCTTTTCCTCAACAATCACCCGCTCGGGTGCCCGTTTGCCATCCGGTAAATATGGTACGTTCTGATTCCCGAGAACTTTCGGATTACGCATTTGCTTATTGAAATCCTGGGCGTTCAGAGCCACTCAACTACTACTCCCTCGCGCAAGGCCCCTGGGGCGGACTGGGAGAAGAAGGTCGATGAGGTGAAGGTTTCCAAAACGTAGGTTCCGAGTAAACCTCTCACCGTCACTCTTTAACCTCCGCCTTCCCCGTGAAAATACTGGACAAAATGATGCGATTTATGTACAAGTTGGGAATCTCTCTGAAATCCTTATGTTAGAGAATATGTTAACTTGCTTTCTGATAATGTCCTTGTTTGACCTCGGCACTTCTTATCTATGGGATTGGCTCCTAGTTGGATCGGGTGACTGATTCTCGGAATGATAGGGACCTCAATACCTTGGTTATGAATTATCTCATTATCGAGGGATATAAATCCGCTGCAGTCAACTTTGCACAGGAAGCGAATATGTCACCTCAGGTTGACTTTGATTCTATCCAAGAACGCGTTGATATCCGCCATGCGATCCACCACGGGGATATTCAGACTGCTATTGAAAGGATCAATGAGTTGCATCCAGATGTCAGTGGAATTTCTCTCTCTCCCCAGCTCTAAATCCTTCGTTTCTAGCTTCATATGCACTCTTTTTTTTCTTTTTTCTTTTCGCGATGATTACTTTCAGAGTGGCTTATTACGCCTTCCGGCTGGTGATGAAAAATATGGTCAAAACTTCAGTCTTCAACATGAGCATATCTTGCCGAACCCGTTTCCGATTCTGATATTCGTACATTTATGGGTTTGCGGCTTGCTAATATCCCAAGTTGACATAGCTTCTCGAGACAAATCTTCCTCTACATTTTTCACTCTTGAGGCTTCAGCTTATCGAATTGATTCGAAACTGCACTCAATCCCCTGACGGTGATATTTCCGAAGCATTGGCATTTGCTACCACTCATCTAGCGCCCCGAGCGCCTGGCAATTCAAAGTTCTTGCAAGACCTTGAGCGCACAATGGCGCTTCTATGCTTCCCAATGGAGAATCTAGCTCCTCCCCTCGCAGAACTGATGGACCCGGCGCTGCGAAGACAGGTAGCGGCTAAAGTTAACGAAGCAATTCTCGAAGTGCAAGGCGTACCCAAGGAAGCCAAGATTCGCCGCCTGGTCAGGCTGAGGGCATGGGCCGAGCAAAGGATGAAGAGTGAGCGTAGAGAGATGCCTAATATGGACTTGGGGTTAGATGTTGCGTCGCAAACATCTGATGATGCAATGGGGGCTTGATCGTCTCGGAATAATGACTTAATGAAATGGGTATGGGAACCCTGGGTGGCCTGGTGTTTTTTCCCCTGTTTTCTTTTATTTCTTCCCCCCCACCCCCTCGCAGTGTTTCATGGAGTTGTGTGTTATCTACTATGGTGCTCTTCTCTTCTTTCTCTCAAGTCGGCATTGGGGTTGGATCGGCGTTCTCTACTGGTGCAATTGTAAACATGTTAGCTTAAACAAAAAACAACTGTAATGATGATTTTTGCTTTTGAAACTCTATCAGCTCAATTCATTATTCATTATATCACACCGGTAAACCTCTTTGATAGAAATAAGTTGAGATTAGGAGTAGAGATCTACTGTACTTGTAGACTGTTTATCACAATACTGGCACCTACCGTATTTACACCCACCGTGCTAGTATCATCCGGATAGAAATGATACGAACCCGGGAGAGAGGTACAGTACTGTCCCCGTAAGGCTAGCGCTTCTTGGCATTAGGCCCTGCGTGAGGGAGAAATTTCTAAGCCCCAGGCCTCTTCCAAAGTCTCAATCTCCCCCAGTCATCACTCCCCCCACCATGCCTCCCCTCACACATCTCCGAACCACAAAGGGTCTTACCGTTTAATCGCTAACAATGGCAACTACCGGTACTTCGCTTTCAAGAAACTGGAAGCAGCTCCAGAGGACGTTAAGTAGGGCCGCATCCAACACGTCCACCACGCCCACCGACCCCCCAAAGCGCAAGTCTTCATCGGCCGCGAGCCCCGCCACCACCAGCAACAACTCCACAATCACAAGTGCGAAAAAGGCAAAGGTGGCAAGGTGAGCTCAAACAGTGCATCTCCATACCCAATGCGTAATGGGATGTCATGCTAACACATACGGTACAGAACCCCATGTAACTCGACTACCACCACTACAATAACCAACTCTACAAACTCTTCCCCTGCACGACTAGCTTCTGAACTGAAACCAAAACCAAAACCAACGTCGAAAGCACCAGAAGTGTCCACCGCCACCGCAAAACCAGCCTCCGCGACGCTGGCACTCTGGGCGGAAGATAATGACATCTCCCCCGTAGATCTGCAAAAAGCGTACGGTCTACCATTAACCAGCACCACTCTTCCACTCCCCCTTGAGGCGTCCGGGTCGTCCTCAGCAACCGAAGCCGGAAAATACATCTCACTCGACTGCGAAATGGTTGGCGTGGGCGGCCCCACGAACGAGCGCTCCGTGCTTGCCAGAGTTTCGATAGTCAACTACCACGGGCACGTAATCCTAGACACGTTTGTGCGACCAAAGGAGAAAGTTACGGATTGGAGGAGTTGGATTAGCGGCGTTACGCCTGCGCATATGGCCCACGGTGCCCTCCCCCGTTCTTTCTTGCAGCGCAGCAGCAGCTTGGCTAACGACATGGGTAGCGAGGGAATTCAAAGACGTACAAAAAGAAGTATCCACTATCCTCATGGACAGAGTTCTTGTGGGGCACTCGGTTAAGCATGATCTCGAGGTGTTATTGTTGAGCCATCCGAGGAGGGACATTCGCGATACCAGTCGACATCCCGGATTCAGAAAGTTGAGTGCTGGGCGTACACCCGGACTGAAGAAGCTTGCCAGCCAAGTGCTGGGGATCGAGATTCAGGGGGGGGAGCATTCTAGCGTTTGTCGTCCTTCCTTCCATCTTGATGGTGAGGGCTAATGGATGAGTGGACAGATCGAGGACGCACGAGCTTGCATGTTACTCTACAGAAAGTTCCGCGATGAGTTTGAAATTTTGCATAGACCAAAAACGCCAAAGAGTACATCCGCCAAGTCAAGTGGGAAGAATAAGAAAAAGAAAAAGCGGGCTTAAGTATTGCTACATTTTTGTCGTGGTTTCAATTCAACATTCTTCAGCCTTCGCTTCTGTTTATATTGGAGTTGGGATTTTAGCCAGCTGGTTTGTTAATGGTAGTAATTTCTCACTAGTTGCGGTTCCTAGTAATCTCAAATTCCATCATCGGACCTTTTTGCTTTCTTTTTTTTTAAAAAAAGAAAAATCCGCAAGGGTATCTATCATGTATTGACAGCTGTCGATCGGCAACAACGAAAGAAGCGGAAACGTGAAAGGATGGAAAGAAAAAAAAGTGAATCACAAAGGAATGCCCTCATATAGCTCCATTGAGCCTTCCCTCGCTACAGTAAAAATAATATCGTTCAGGATCTTGGCCCTGAACCCGGCCTCGCAATAGGAAAAATAGTACTATCTCATATCAATCATGCTGGCCTCTTCTAAATATTTCCAGAAAGGAAAAAAGCACCCACCTCCCATTTCCTATTGAAAACACCAACGTCCAACTCACTCATCTCCGGATTCTCCTTTCTCAAAGCCGGGGCAATCCGATCGTGGAAAGTGGCAAGGAAGTTCTCCCTCCAGACACGGAGGGTTCTAGCGTAGTGGCCACCAATGTTCTCGAGGGACTCGAGGACCAAGTTTCCCTTGCTACCCTTGCTGATAGCGTTTACAAGCTGGGAGTTCGAGGGGAGGTACCCACCCGGGAAGATGTATTTCCTGATAAAGCTGTCTTTTGTTAGCGATATTGACTTTCTTGATTGGTAAAATTCAGGAGGGAGGGCTGGTTACTCATTTCCACTAGTATAGGTTTCGTGTCTCTGCGAATGATCAGCCATGACCGGGGTCACAACTCTTGATAGATACTTATCATACAGCCTCGGGCATAGTAATGCACTGGAACACGGCGATCCCGCCATTCCTCTTCAGCATGGAGTCCACCACTTGGAAATATCTTTCTAGATATTCCCCGCCGACAGCTTCGAGCATCTCTATGCTAACGATTTTATCGAACCTCTTCTCCGGAACCGGCAGCGCACGGTAATCGCAGAGCAGCACAGTAATTTTACCCGTCATGCCTGCTGCCGCGATTCGCTCCTCCGCGAGGGTCTTCTGCTCCAGGGACAGTGTTATGGAGGTGACCCGACATCCAGTTCCGGCCACGGCCTGGATGGCAAAACTTCCCCAGCCGGTGCCTATCTCGAGGACGTGGTCCGTGGGCTTGATCTTTGCGAGTACGATTAGCCGAGTGAGCTTGGTGTACTGAGCTGCTTCTAGCTCCCCCGTGGTGGCGGTGGCCGGCGGGTCAGCTGGTGTGGGGGAGAATATGCCGCAGGAGTAGGTCATGTCTGGCGAGAGGAATGCCGCGAATATCTCGTTAGAGATGTCGTAGTGTGCGGAGACATTCAGAAGGGAGTTTTGGAGGGTATTGGTGCTTCTCAGGAGCGATGGTAGGGGGTTTGTGAGGATTGAGGAGATCGTGCTCGTGCTGGAGAGGTAGGGGCGGTTTTGTACGAATATCTGAGGTACTTTGTTAGCTTTCTTGCTTGATTCGCTTGCTCGATTGCTTTTCTATCGGTATGGAAATACTTGAAAGAATCCCACGAGATCACTACAATCTACTTCTCTCAGCATATACGCTTCTGAGAATCCCTTTTCAAAATATCAGCTTCTCCTCCTCCTCCTCCCCCTCCTCCTCTCTACCAACCAATAGACTAACATACAGAGCAGTAAACATACCAAATCAGCAAACAAAAACAGTCTAACCCAGAACATCTCCTTCAGAACCGTGATTTCCACCTGCGGCACCCCACCGCCACCAAAAACCTCACGTCTCCCATCCATAAAAGTGACAACTAACCTCCCATCCTCAATCTTACTTAGCAGCGCAAGAACCGCCCGCATACAGACCCCAACAAACGGCTCCCAAGCAATTCTCCCAGAAAGTCTCCTTGCATAACCGAAAGGGGCAGCGAGAGTATTCATATTTTACTAGCTCCGCCCCGTAGTAGCTCTCACACTGGCCGCCCAGCACGAGGAGAAGAGGGAGAATAATGATCAGAACCCAAAAGGGGAGTTGAATAGATGGGAAAGGAAAACAAGTCACGGTGTTAACCCAACGATGGGTTAGTTTGTCGGACGGAAATAGCACGAGATGGAACCTTATTATTATCTGGCTTGTGTGTCTCTCTATATACCCACCGATTCCTTCCAGGTCGACTTGTACGCTAACACTTCTCGCACGCTGCGAAACGCGGAGAACACATGGGATAAGGTGCCCACCCGTGAGTCAATGATGAGTACATGCCTCCTGTACTTTATACCAGCTCAAGAGAAGGGGATGGGAATGGTGGGGTTGGAACGGTTCAGTGCACGAATTGTACACACCCGGACGTCCCCCCCCCTGGATATCACTACTATCCATTGACCTCTACTACTGCGGCTCCGGCAGGCGCGGGAAGGTACGTAGCTTAGTGGGCATGAGCTCGAAAGGGAGTGATTAGAAGTTGTCTCTGTAGAATTCCGAGCTGAGGCGAGTCCAGATTGACGGGAGCGATTTCCCGTCCACTGTGGTGGGTGGGTGCACAAGAGATGATAGAGAGAGGTCTCGGGCTGTCTGTATCTGGAAATGGACCTGCCTATCATATCATACTCCACTGCTACTATTAAGTGTACAGTACCCTAACTCTGACTCCATGTGGTAACAACCATCCCAGCTAGCATACCTAGGTGTTATAGGACCAGGTACGATAGTAACCAAAATTTGCCGCATCCATACACTAGTGAACGCTCCGGATAGTCTTTTGCGGTGGGCGATCCCAAAGCGCAGCGTCCCTTCCCTCATCTCCAGACCGTACTGTATATTCCCTAGCGGTAGGCCAAAACGTAATGGCTACCCCCATCCAAGATTTCTTTCAACTGCCGCCGCTGGGAGCGTACCGAGGCTACTATATTGGTAAGTAAAAAAAATAAGGGG